AAAAAAAAAAAAAAAAAAAGAATGTTTTGAAACAATATTTTCTACTGTTTACTGAACTACTTTGGTTTCCTGGGGTCAGATGGTCTGTTTATATTGAGCCTTCTTCCCATCAAATGTCTGGTGATCTTTCTTTGTCAGTTCATACTAATTTATGTTGCGAAGGAAAGACTGCCACATCTTGAGATTGCTGAGGTGGGTGTCACCTGGCTGTGTCCCCCAGAGGCCTTCTTTAGTATAGTTCTGGCTGGGAGTAGGGGCATCTGGGCAGGATTTCGGTGTGTTTGAGGTGGGCTGGGACCCCACCTGCACAGAGTGAAGGCTTCACTCCAGGGTGGAGCCCTTTTCAGTACTTTATTCCATGGGGAGCTGCCTTTGCTTCTGGTCAGTTTGGTGCCCAGGACTGGCTTGCAGGAGCATTTGCAGGCAGATCACTTACTTTCTTTAGACAGTTTTGGCTTAAAGGCAAAGATCTACTATTGCTGGGCAGAGCCGCGTAGTTTGTGGCAGGGCTAGAGAGAGGGCACCTATTCTCAGGTCACTTAGTCATCTGCAGGCCGCCAGGCCAGCTCTTTCTCCCCCTGGGGCCAGCTGGCTTCCTAGTCAGTTCTGCTGATTGAAGCAGCTCCCCAGGGAGCACAGAGCACAGAGTAGAAAGTGGGAGATGGAGGGCTGTGGGGAACTGCAGGTCAGGGAACTTCCGCTCCACTAGGAAAAGCATACACCAGGCAGACAGATGTGCTCTGGTGAAAACAACAGAAATTCATTCAAGTCAGTAGCGGGCAAGTGGCCCTTGGAATGCAGGCGAAAGGTAAGCAAGGAAAAAGGAAGCGTGGAAGCCCTCCTGAGGAGTAGGGGTGCTAAGCAGAGTACAGAAGTGGGGGACTGCTATCCCAGCAGTACTGCGAGTCCCTCTTTGCTCCTTAGGAACTGCTTAAGACGACCCTGCTATCTCTCCTGAGGTTCCTGGAAGCTGTTGTCACCGAGAAGCCTGTTCATACCCAGACCTGCTTGGAGGTCAGTGGGGAGGAGCCCTTGAAAGTTGGGGTGTTCTTTTCCTGGGGTTTGCCCAATGATGTGCCACAACTGGCTGGCTTAACACAGAAGAAACTGATTCTCTCATAGGTGTGAAGCTAGAGATTCAAATTCAAGGTGTTGGCAGGGTTCATGCCCACTGGAGTTCCTGGGGCAGAATCCATTCCTTCTCATCCATGGCTCTCTCCTGGCTTCTGGTGGTTCCTGCCATCTCTTGGTGTCTCCTGCCTTGTAGACATATCACTTCAATCTCTGCCTCCATTTTCATAAGGCGTATTCTCTCCCCCTTGTGTGTGTGTGTATTCTCTTCTTTCTGAGAACAGCAATCATTGGATTAGGTAAGGTCCACCCTATACCAGTATGAACTCACCTTAACTTGATGAGATCTGCAAAGACCCTATTTCCTAATAAGATCATACTCTGAGGTTCTGGGTGGATATGAATTCTGTCCCCCTGGTATACTTGGGAACAGAACATTCAGGGGCAGGAGAAGAGACAGAACTGAGGATAGGGGTTGGGTGCAGAGGTTTGAGGGAAGGTGATCAGGGCTGGGATGTAAACAGTCTTGGTCTTCTCCCTTGGAGCACAAATGCTTTCTTCTTCCTTCTTCCTTCTCTGTTGCTGTGGCCACCTTCTCCTCAGTTCCCCTCCACTCCTGCACAGCAGCTACAGGAGAGAAACATGGGCTCTGCACCCCTACATCTGCATTGCCTGCTTCTGTTGTTAGCTGGGTGGCCTTGGGGGTGTATGCAACTTTCCAGTGCCTTACTTTTCTCCAGGAAAATGGGATGGCAATAGTGCCTGGCTCATACAGTTGTGTTTATAACTGAGAGTGAATGTTTATAAACTGCCCACTTGAAGAGGTAAGGTTCAGCTTCCAGTAATTTGACCATTTTTAAATTGGGTCATCTTTTTTATAGATTTCACCGACTTTATGCTAATGGCCTTCTCTTGAGTATCCTGTTCCACAATTATTACAGAAAGTTTAAGTTTTCTTTGCACTTGTTTTGGTTGTCAGACTAGAGATCTGAGGAGTACAGTCAAAGTATTTAGTATGAAAATTAGTTGAGATGATTGTTTTCTGTGTGGTTATGGTATCAAATTGATATAATTCAGATTTATTTGTGTTTAATTTTTATGGTTTCTGGCTGGGCATGTTGGCTCACACCTGTAATCCTAGCACTCTGGGAGGCTGAGGCAGGCAGATTGCTTGAGCTCAGCAGTTTGAGACCAGCCTGAGCAAGAGGGAGACTCTTTCTCTACTAAAAATAGAAAAACAAGCCAGGCATGGTAGTAGGTGCCTATAGTCTGAGCTACTCAGGAGGCTGAGGCAAGAGAATCGCTTGAGCCCAGGAGTTTGATGTTGCTGTAGCTATGATGAGGCCCTGGCACTCTACCCAGGGCTACAGAGTGAGACTCTGTCTCAAAAAAAATTTTTTTAAGAGTATATGTTCTTTTAATTTAATTGAAAATTTTGATTATGTCAGGATTTACATAATATTGAAAACTTAAATCTAAAGTCTTCCTCAGAGCAGTCTTGCTCCCATTGATCTTCTTACCTTCCTTCCCCCTCACTCCCTAGAGATCACCACGTGCCTAAAGATGCTGACTGTGCTCCTGGTTTTTGGTGTAAAAGAAAGCAAATGTGTGTTATGTACATTCTTATTTCCCTTTCTGTCCTTCACGGCAAGTCATACCTTCTCTCTAGTGCCCTGAATTTGGTTTTTTCTCCACATCAGCTCACAGATACAGTCTTTATGATTCTGCGGGTTACCTACATTGTGTGGGTGTAGTCAAGGTTATTCAATCAGACCCCAGAGACAGACATTGGGCTGTTTCCAATCTTTTTGCTGCTATTTTTCTTCTTTCATTTTGGAATGATTTTAGAGACACAGGGAGTTGCAAAAATAGGAGATACCCTTCCTTGGATACTTAGCCCAGCTTCCCCTAATGGTGACATATTATCACAACCTGGGAATTGACACTGGGTACTACTGTTAGACTCCAGACCTTGTTCAGTTTCCATAGTTTTGACACCTGTTCATTTTAATCTCATGTAGAGTGAGATGTAGCCAACACCACCACCACTATTGATGTAGAACTGTTTCACCACCAAGCAGAACCCACTTGTGTGACTCCTTTTCTTTATTGTTTGGGATTCATTGAGGGCACAAAGAATTAGGTTATACTGATTGCATTTGTTAGGTAAATTCCCTCTTGTAATTAATTGTGTCTCACCCCCAAGAGGTGTGTCATACACCATGACCCCCCCACCCTCTCTTTCCTTCCCTCTTCCTGCTCCTGCTTTCCCCTACCCCTTACCATGTGTTATGTCATCTATTGGTGTGATCTCTTTTTAATCACATCCCCCCACACCTTAGCCCCATTCCCTGGTGACAACCACTGATCTGTTTTCCAGCTTTATAGTTTTGCCATTTTAAGGATGTTATATACATGGAATCATAGAGTGTGTAACCTTTTATGAGATTGGCTTCATGCTCTCAAGATCTCCCAGGTTGTCATGTGAATCAATAGTGTATTTCTTTTTATTCTTGAGTAATTTTGCATTGTATGAATATGTTAGAGTTTGTCTGGTCTTTCACCATTGACAGACTTTTAAGTGGTTTCCAGGTGGGGGTTATTATTAGGAAAAGTCTTGTGAACTTTTGTGTACATGTTTTGTGTGAACATAACTTTTGGTTTCTTTGTGGGGGGCGGGGGATAAATGCCAAAGAGAGCCTTTGCTGAGTGATATGAAAGTGCATGTTTAGGTTTTTTTTTTTTTTTTTTTTTGAGACAGAGCCTCAAGCTGTCCCCCGGAGTAGAGTGCCATGGCATCACAGCTCACAGCAACCTCCAACTCCTGGGCTCAAGCGAGTCTCCTGCCTCCACCTCCCAAGTAGCTGGGACTACAGGCACTCGCCACAACGCCCGGCTATTTTTTGGTTACAGCCATCATTGTTGTTTGGTGGGCCCGGGCCGGATTCGAACCCGCCAGCTCAGGTGTATGTGGCTGGCATCTTAGCCGCTTGAGCCACAGGCACCAAGCTGCATGTTTAGTTTTTTAAGAAACTGCCAAACTATTTTTCAGAATAGCTATACTATTTGATACTCATGAGACCTATGTATGAGGTAGTCAGTTTCTTTGCATTCTTGCTTGCTCTTAGTGTGACTTTTTAAACTTTATCCTTTTTAAAATAGGCATAGCACTTTTCATATGCATTTCTCTAATGGCTAATGATGTTGATTATATTGACATGTGCATATTTGCTGCCTATATCCTTGTGTGATTTTAATTCTTCTAAATTTGTTAAGGTTTTATTTTATGAAGCAAGATGTAGCCTGTCTTAGTGAGTGTTCCATGTGAACTTGAAAAGAATATGTATTCTGCTTTTGTTGGCTGGAAATTCCTTTTAAAATGCCAGTTGAGGTGGAATTCAATTCTACTACATCCTTGCTGAATTTCTGTTCACTACTTCTTTTGCTTACTGAGAAAGGAGGATTTAAGTCTGCAGCTGTAACAGGAAATTCACTTGTTTCTCCTTTTGCTTCTGTGAGTTGAAGCTTTGTTGTTAAGTGCATACATGTTCAGGATTATTGTATCTTCTTGGTAATGTGATCTTTTATTATCATGAAATATCCTCTTTATCTCTATTATTCTTATAGCTATCCTACCTCTCTTTTTATTAGTGTTTGTATGGTGCAACTTTAGTCATCATTTTATTTTATTTTTATTTTTATTTTTTGGTGGGGGGACAGAGTCTCACTCTGTCATCCTGGGTAGAGTGCTGTGGCTTCGTAGCTCACAGCAACATCAAACTCTTGGGCTCAAAGGATCCCCTTGCCTCAGCCTCCTGAGTATCCATCACAACTCCCACTAATTTTTTTCTATTTTTAGTGGAGACAGGGTTTCGCTCTTGCTCAGGTTGGTCTCAAGCTCTTGAGTTCAGTCAATTTACACCTTGGTCTCCCAGAGTGCTAGGATTACCTTGGGAGCCACCGGACCCCTTGTATCCTTTTACTTTTAATATACAGTTGGTCCTTTTTGAAATCCATTTATTAGGCACATTAAAAAAATAATCCATTCTGATCATCAGTGTCTTTTAATGTGTCTTTAGATCATTTCGTTTAATAAATTAATGACATGGTTTTAGGTGCACCACTTTATTATTTGTGTTCTTGCTGTTCTCTCTGATTTTTCTTCCTCTATTTCTTCCTTTTTGCCTTCTTTGGGTTATTTTCCCATTTTAATGTTACCTTTTAACTTGCCTATTAGGTTTTTCTTTCTAACTTTTCGTATAGTTTTTATAGTGGTTGCTAAAGGCTTTACAATACTCACACTTAACTTTTCACAGCCTACCTAGAACCAAATGGTATCCTTCCAATTGGAATGTGGAGACTTGACCAGCATAGAGATGAAGCACATAGATTTGTCCTTTACTCTATGTTGGAGTTGTCTTAGGTGTGATATTTACATTTATTAAAGCCCTGCCCACCAATTTTATGACACATGTATTTTATTTGAGCCATCCAATGTGTTTTACAGAATTCATAAGATAAGAGTCTATTATATTCACCCAGATATTTACCATTTCTGTTGAACTTTTTTTCCTAATGTTTCAACTTTCCTTTTGGCATCATGTCTCTTTTAACAGTTCTTTTAAAGTCCTTACATTTATTATTTCCAAGTTTCCATTCTTATATATAATTTTTTTATTCTAATAAATCTCAAACCACAACCAAAGTAGAGAGAATAGAATCATGTGTATCATCACCCAGCTTCAGTGATCAGTCATGGTCAATTTTATTTTATTTGTGCCTTTTACAGTCCCCAACTTCTGTGCCTCTGGGGCACAGAGCAATTTTTTTAGAGCAATTTTCATACCATTTTTTCCATAAATATTTTAGTATGTTTATCAAAGATAAGGATTATGACCAGGCATGGTGGCTCACTCCTTTAATCCTAGCACACTGGGAGGCCCATCTCTATTAAAAATAGAAACAAACTAGCCAGTCACTGTGGCTGGCACCTATAGTTCCAGCTATTCAGGAGGCTAAGGCAAGAGAATCACTTGAGCGCAAGAGTTTGAGGTTGCTGTGAGCTATGATGCCATAGCACTCTACTGAGGGCAACAAACTGAGAGTCTGTCACAAAAAAAAGGGGAAAAGGATTATATTAAAATATATGACTATGCTATCATTATTATATTTAAATTATGTAGGCTGAATGTGTTGTCTTATGCTTATAATCCTAATACTCTGGGAGGCCAAGGCTAGAGGATTACTTGAGTTCAGGAGTTCAAGACCAGCCTGAGCAAGAGGGAGCCCCTGTCTTTACAAAAAATAGAAAAATTATACAGGCATGATGGCACATGCCTACAATTCCAGCTACTCCGGAGGGTGAGGCAGGAGGATTGCGTGAGCCTGGGAATTTGAGGTTGCAGTGAGCTATGATGATGCCACTGCATTCTAGCCCAGGTGACAGAGTTAGACCCTGTCTCAAAAAATATATATACATATATATATGTATATATAAATTTTGATTTAATTTCTTAGTATCATAAATGTTTGGAGAATATTAATTTTTCCCTAAATATGTCACAAATATATATTTTTAAATATCTGTTCACTTGAATCAGGTCCTAAATGAGCTGTGTACATTCTCATTGGTTTGTTGCTTAAGTCCCTTCATTTATAGTTTTCCCTTATGTCATTTTTTTTCTTAAAATTTATTTGTTGAAGAAATCAAGTCATCTCTTCTGTAAATTTTCCACATTCTGAGTTGTACTGATTATAACATTTTTGGGTCATTTAACAAGTTCTTCTATCCTAGTATTTCCTAGATATTATTAGAACTAGATGCTTGATCAGATTCAGAATTGATTTTTAGCAAGATTACTTCACAGATATCTTGCAGTATCATCTGAACTTGAATTCTAAAACATTTGATGTAGGCTGGTTCTCTTCTGCTGAGAGAACTTGCCTCTGCTCTGTCTGTGGTATAGACTTTCTGTAGTTTCTGAATAAATCTTGCTTTCACTTAAAAAAAATGTGATGTGTGGTGGCACCCGTAGCTCCGTGGGTAGGATGCTGGCCATAAAAACTGAAGCTGGTGGGTTTGAACCCTACCTAGGCCTGCTAAACAACAATGACAACTGCAACAAAAAAATGGCCAGGCGTTGTGGCAGGCTGAGGCAAGAGAATCGCTTAAGCCCAAGAGTTTGAGGTTGCTGTTGGCTGTGACACCATGGCACTGTATCAACAGTGACATAGCGAGACTCTTTTTCAAAAAAAAAAAAGCCATTAAAAAGTGTTTTAATCAATTAGAACTTTCATTTTAACTGATGCTACAATTGTCTCATCTTTTGTCATAGGAGACTCTTCCTGATTCTTTTTATTCAATATGACTCTAGGAATCTCCAAGAACTTCCTTGCTTTCCAATATTGTGTGTACTTTTCATCTGTGGCCTGGAATTAGCTGTTTTTTTTCAAGGAGCTATGGTCTTTCTTTGTAAAAAATGACATTTAGAAATCACAGTCTTGGCTTGGGTATTTCATCAGGGTCTGGCTGCAGGAACAATTTTTTTTTTTTTAAATGAATCTATGTGGTATCGTTTATTTTCTTCTTCTTTTTCTTTTTTTTCTTATTCTTTCCTTCCTATATTGTTTTTTAGAGCATCAGTATTTCCTTAAGTTAGTTGTGGATTTCTTTTCATCTACTACTATTATTCCTTTTCAGTTATAAATTGCCTTTTGCTTTCCTGAATCATGGTTAGAATGATTACTGCAGGTTGACATGGAGCAATGTGCATTTAGATCGGTGGTATTCAGGGCCTGTAATTTACCACTGGTGACATTTATTTGTTGTATTTCAAATAGGAAACAGCCATAATTATATTCCTTAAAAAAACTTCAATCACTCTTGAATCTGTGACAACAAAGACATGTTGTTAATACCAAGTTCTTTCTTTATGGAGGAATAAGATGTGGGTAGGGGAATAGTGGGATATGTTGATCTACTGAAGTAAGCTGTGGTCAGTATCATTTGAGAGTCACAGCTTTCACCTGAAACAAAGGGACACCAATGAAGAAATTTCTAGCACCCAGAGAAGGGGAGAATTGGGGGTTGAGAAAATAAAGGCTTCTGGTTCCAGACCCATATACAATGCACCTCTAGGCCAAAGAAGTCCTGCTCTTGGGAGTAGGGTCCTGATACTTTGCAGAAGCTCAAAGTTACTTTTCTTCACTCTGAGATGCAGCTAATCAGGCCTCTCCTTTCATCATCTTCTCCCTCCAGCTGCTAGAGACATGGCTGAATTCCCAGAAGAACCATGAGCGGGAACGGGCCATGTGGTGTGCTGCCCGCATTCTTGGCTATACTATAAAAATGAATAACTTCAAAGTGAGTGGTCACTTGTCTCAGAGCCTGGGTCCTACTGTCCTCTCTGGTCACCCTCACCCCTATCTTTGTCCCCAGCTTCATCACATCTGTCACCTGGCCTCAGTCACACTGTCTTGCCATCTGTCTCTGTTTTTTCCCCTACATCCCATCTTGTTCTCACCTCTCTCCCTTTTCCCTCTCCCCCACCCCTACATCTACCACTTGGTCTTTTTGTCCATCTGCAAAATCATTTCCATTCCATTTGGTTTGGTTTCCATTCACCTCTACTAGCAGTTACTGGGCACTCACCTTGGGCCAGGCACTGTGCTAGTGCTATGGTGGATATGTAGATGACCAGGACTATTCCCTGAAGGTGATAATGAACGTACAAGCCAAATGTGATGGGAATCAAATATGGAAACACAAATGACTACAAGTGAGGGAAACTGAGAAAGCTTCATAGAAGAGGACACAATAGAGGTGGGGTGTCAGGAGGCAGAGAAGGGGGAGCAGTGCCAGGTCCTGCCCTAGCCATGCTGGTGGATGTGCTTTCTGGCCACCCCTTGTCAAATTCCTTCCCTGTTCCCCACTCCTGGTCTCAACCCTCATGCCTGTGGCACGTGTGTCCCCCTCCTCCTAGTTTTTCTCCTGTGACAGCCCAGCCTGAAGGAGCAGTTGGGATAACATGTGACTTCCAGCTCTCCTCCTCAGATGGAAATTCCGTTCACCCATCTGGGGCACCTGGTGAGGATGCTGGCTGTGCGCTGTCAGGACCCTGTGGACAACATCTGCTACTTGTCTTCCCAGGCTGTCTACAGCCTCTACAGTATCCTCCTGCTGCAAAAGCGTATGTAGAAACTTCTCTTGTTCCTCCCTTCCAGCTTCTCCCTTAGACCTGGCCATCCCCACATGCTCTAGAAGTTACCTAAGCACCTCATCTCCGTGGAGGGACCTGCCCCTTCTGGGACAAAATACCTGCTTAGGAAAGAGTTCTTTTGAATTAGTTCCTCCTCATCTGAGTGAGCCTCATATTCTTACCTGATTCTATCTTTGCTCTGAGGCAGGCAAAGTGGGCGCCCCTTAGATAGGTGTCATCAGCACCCCTTATGGTGGTGTCCATCCCTTCCCTACCAACCCCAACTCTCTTCAATCTGGCTTAGCTCAGTAGGTGCCTGGGCCTAGGCCAGGGGCCCTGAGAGGTGGGAAAGAACATTCTAAGAAGGCTTCTGAACATCTGAGGGGTGGGCTTGGTGGTCTTTGTTTCAGAGATGACAAGGCAAAATCAAAACTTGTGGGAAGAAGACGGCAGGGGTGAAGTTTATAGTCCCAACATCTTCTACAACAGCACCTTTAAGATTGGCGAGGTGAGGGCCATCCAGACACCTAGTGGGGACAGCTGGGGCCTCTCATTTACATAATCTTATAGCTCTCTCAGGTGGGATTCTTGTATCTTCCCTCTCTGTGTCTTGCTGTGAAGGTTTTCTTTAGGGGACAGTCTGTGTACAACGGAAGGCCCAGTCTTGGGGCTCCCATATGCTCTCCCTTGAGTATCCTGGGTCCTGAGCCTTTGTCATGGCCCATCCCTCTGGAAGTACTGGTTTCATGCTCATGGTGCTTTGTGAGCAACATGTATCCCAACTCCTGCCTCAGAGAGGCACTAAGGACCTCAGCCCCTCTGTCCTGCTGCTCTGCCTCTGCAGCCTCTGACCTTGGAACCCCACACTGGCACCTGAGGTCAGTGTTCTCTGCCTCCCATCCCCAAAGACTCTGACCCCAGTGAAAGTGTCCTCTGGGAGATTGGCAGACAGCACAGGCCTGACACAAATGTACATTTTGCTCCCAAGAAGAAGCATGTGCTACTCAGGAAAGGTGGTCCAGGCCATCTGAGGCAGGCAGCCCAGGTGAGTTGAGACTGACAGCCCTTGTTGCAGGCATTTGCAGGGTACTTCACCCAGCTCCATCTCACCAACATGGTGCTGAAGGTCATGGATGACCTGACTGAGAGCAAACCCAGGTTGTCTCTGGCTGCTGCCCAGCTGATGAGCGCTGTTATGAAAAAACGGGGCAAGGACATGATAAAGGTAGTGTGGCACTGTGGCAAGAGCTCAGCCCTGTCAATCAGGAGCTCTGGGCTCCTTCCTGGCTCTAGCACTAACCAAGTGAAAGGCCTTGGGCAAGTCTCTTCTCTACTGTTGGTCTTAATTCACTCACCTATAAAATGTGGATTTGGGCTAGATGTTCTCTGTGGTCCCACAAAGCTGAGACATTTATAATTCTGAGCTCAAAACTGGTACCCCAGGGCAGCACCTGTGGTTCAAAGAAGTAGGGCGCTGGCCCCATATACTGGAGGTGGAGGGTTCAAACCCAGCCCTAGCCAAAAACTGGAAAAAAAAGGAAAAAAAGAAAACCACCTGGTACTGCAGTTAACATTACCATGTGCAAAGCTGTTGGCAGCTGGTGCCACAGGTGGCCTTCAGCCAGAGCACAGGAAGCATTGTTGAGGGTGTTCATCTTGGTTCCCTGGGGTGCCAGGGGCCTTAAACTGTGAATTTCAAACCAGTTTAGTTCATGAGTTATCCTTTTTTTCCTTTAGATTAACATATAAAAATGGAAAAGTTTTGCATAACAATCCCACATTTCCCAATTCACTGAAAGAAACTTTAAAATGGGATCACCCAGGGCACCTTTCTGAGTGGGCTTTGTTCCTTTTATAAACGCAGCATGGGCTCTCTCAGACCCTCCTACTCCCTGAGTTCCCTGACGCCTGTTGCCCTCATTCATTTATGTGACCTACATGGCCTATGTAGCAGAACTGGAAGGACACTCTGAGGGTATCTTTGAGGCACTGCACTGGAACAGACTTCCCAGAGGCTATGTATTAGGGATTTGAGGGCCAGAGCCAAGACTGGGGTCCCCTACCTCCAATGCCAGATGTTCCTGCAGTTTGCGGGTTAAAAGTTGATCGCAGCTGGGAGGGGAAGCCCTGAGGTACCTTAGCAACCTGGGATGCTACTCATCTACAGACTTACGGGCTGTGGGCGGGCACTTGCTACAGTGGGCCTTAGTGCCAGCTTCTGGGGCCCCTACTGGTCTGGCCTCTGGTGCCTCAGAACTCTGCCTTGCAGCCAATGGCCAGTGTGGTGGCTCACACCTATAATCTTAACACTCTGGGGGGCTGAGGCAGGTGGATCTCCCTAGCTCAAGAGTTCAAGACCAGCCTGGGTAAGAGTAAGACCCAAATCTCTGTTAAAAGTAGAAAAATTAGGGGTGGCGCCTGTGGCTCAGTGAGTAGGGTGCCAGCCCCATAGACTGAGGGTAGTGGGTTCAAACCCAGCCCCGGCCAAACTGTAACAAAAAAATAGCCAGGTGTTGTGGCAGGTGCCTGTAGTCCCAGCTACTCGGTAGGCTGAGGCAAGAGAATCGCCTAAGCCCAGGAGTTGGAGGTTGTTGTGAGCTGTGACGCCACCGGCACTCTACCAAGGGCAATAAGGTGAGATTCTGTCTCTAAAAAAAGGAAAATTAGTTGAGCATTGTGGCAGATGCCTGTAGTCCTAGCTACTCAGGAGGCTGAGACAAGAGGATTGCTTGAGCCCAGGAATTTGAGGTTGTTGTGAGCTATCACACCCCAGCACTCTACCCTAGGGTGACAGAGTAAGACTATCTCAAAAAAAAAAAAAAATACAACAAAGCTCTGCCTTGGGAAATCAGCCCCACTGGCAGGATTGCAATTAGGCCCCTGAAATTTGGGGAGCTGGTAGAGAAGGAAGGTGGGAAGGAAGCATGGAAAAAGTTATGGGGACTTCTGCTGGCTCTGCCCTGCAGGTGAAGGAAATAGCAGAGGGCATCCTTCAACGGCTCAACTGGAATCTGGAGCCCAACACAAAGGAGGAGACCCTGCAGGCCATGTGTGCGCTGGCAGGTAGCAACACCTGCACCGTCATCCCCATGCTGCTCAGCAAGCCACTGCCCTGGGACAGGTACCTTCACCCTGGCCCAGGACACATTTTGCAGCCCAGGAAGCCCCCTCTGCCCATCCCCATTCCCAGAATAAAAATCATTTGGCAAGGATGCTATTACCCTCCCTTCTCTTTGATCTCAAGCAAACCTCATCTCCATGACCTCTGGCCAATTTCTCTCATCTCACTTCTTCTAGTCCCTGGGAACTGGCTCTTCATGGGCCTGAGACCAAGCCCGTCCTAGGAGCATGATCACCAGGGTCCATGACATAGCTGTCCCTGGTTTTTGCAGAATCACTTTGACCCTGTGGAGGAAACTTGGCACTGAGAGAGACACGACAATCAATGTCCTGCAGTGGCTCATTGGCATCCTGGAAATGGCCCACTCGACAGAGGAAACAGCAGAAATGGACTACCAGCCTGTGGCTGTCAGTATAAAGAAGGGGGTGGGGCTTGGATGTCCAGTTCTGGGAGTTTGGGGGCAAAGTTACTGATCAAAGGGGTTGACCTCAGGGGTCAATCAAATCCTGGGGAGGGGTCAAGAGGAGAGGGTTGATACTGCATCTTGAGTGCTATACCTCATAGGAGCACCTTACCCTCTTTTTGATACTTTTGCATCTAAGAATGCATGATGGAGAAAAGGTAGTGACCAGTCCCATTTATGAATATGGAAACTGGCAGGCAGGGCTTACCAGCTTGTTTTCTGTCAGGATTCTGGGCGACATCATATTATGGAAGGACTAGAGGAGTGGCAGGGGGCATAGGAGAGGTGGAAGTTTGGGTGCCTGAGGCCAGTGTGGACAAAGTGCCAGAAATCATCTTCTGCTGAACATTTAGAGTCAGTTTCCTTTCAATTTTTTTTTTTTTTGAGTCTCATTTTGTCACCCTGGGTAGGGTGCTATGGCATCATAGCCCACAGCAACCTCAAACTCTTGGGCTCAAGTGATTCCCTTGCCTCAGCCTCTCCAGTAGCTGGAACTACAGGCTCCTGCCATGATGCCTGGCTAGTTTTCCTATTTTTAGTAGAGAAGGGGTCTCACTCTTACTCAGGCTGGCCTCTGAACTCCTGAGCTCAGGAGATCACCTGCCTTAGCTTCCCAAAGTCCTAGGAGGATTACAGATGTGCGACACCATACCTGGCTCCTTTCCAGTTTTAATGTCAAATGAGAAGAGGAAGCCAATTGTATGTGGGTGGCTCCCTCATTCCCCTAGTTGTAAAGCGTGGGTGTTCAGTCTTCAGATATTTCTTAGAAGCCTAGGTCAGAGTGAGCTGGGCTCCCTGGGCAGAGACAGGGAGGAATAGGGTAGGATTCTAGCCCAGACTTTCAGTGTATGGATGGTGGTCCAGGTCTGGTCAAGTCTGCTCCCCGCTCCCCAGGTGACATGTGCCTTATGTGAGATGCTGTCAGGAGCCCTGTGCCAAGAGGCTGTCCAGGAGCTCTTGCCGCGGCTGTTGCTGGCTGTGCTGTGGCATATCTACTGGGTGACTCAGCAAAATGCTCCCCAGAAGATGGTGGTGTACATCCAGGAAGGGTCCTCAGAAAGCAAGAAAAATTCCTTTGATTCCACTGGGTAAGTCTGACCTGCAGGTGAGGAGGAAACACAATGAGTCAATTCCTGAGTGTCCTGGATGCTGATACCTCAGGGATACAAGGAAGAAAAGCATAGGAGATGGTGTGGGTGTGGCAGCATCACACACTGGAATCTTCTCTCAGATTTTCACATTTCTCATTACCCCTTCTGCGGACTCACCTTGGGGCTCCTACCTGTGGTTGTAACTCTCCATGTGGAGAGGTGCAGTTAGATGGGAAATGACAGGCCGGGCTGAGTCATCCTCTCCCAGCAGGGTTGGCCATTTGACTCAGCCTAGTTGGCCTCTGGCTTTGCATCCTTGTGGGCTGCTCTGTCCTGTGTAAGTCCTTACCTGTTTCCTCGCCTGTGAGAGGGGAGTTTGGACTCTTGCTTTTGTTGTCTTAACCTCAGAATATTTCATTGAAATGAAATCATCAATGAAAATGAAAACAAATGAAACTAATACAGGAGAGACAGTCTGATTAGGCAGGTGTGGAGGTGAAGAAAGCTCCTCCCCTCCTTCTGTGCACTGGAGTGAAGATCGAAAACCAGGGCACTAGGACATTCCTCAAGATCACCGTTGTTTCTCAACCTTTTTTTTTTTAAATCTCACAGCACACTTGAACCTCTATTTAAGCTTCTGTGGCACATTTCAGTGATGTTGATCAAAAAAGAAAGACTAAAGGAGAGAATATATTTACTGTGCTTTGAACTGCTTTTGAAAATATTTAATTAATGATCTTTAAAAATTTTCACGGCACACCTAAGATCCTCTCAGGGCCCACCAGAAGATGGTGGCCTGGGTGGGAGAGGGGATCCTGTAGGGCTGTGTGGTCGGAGGAGGGCTGGGCTGAAGGGGTGGGTGGTGGATGGGCAATTGAAGATGTGGCTGAGAGTTGTACTTTTTGTCATGATCAGCAGAAGAGCAGTGAGAGAACCTAGCTGCCAGGGCTGAGACCTGAGTCTTGCTTGCCAGCACAGAAGTGCAAATCAGGATATAATACTGTGTCAATCTTTTTGTCCTTTTCTTTTCACAAACCTGATGACGGTGACCTTCAGGTGTGCCCTGAAGGTAGTGAAGCTGGTGCTACTGGCAGGCTCGTATGAGGGAGTGGTGGTCTATGCAAGTGACTATAACTGCTGGGAACGTCTGTCCAGCCCCAAATCTTATTATATTGGGATCATGGACTTGACAAGGTAGGACCACTTCCCTCATGCTACTGGCAGCCCTCTCGCCCCAGGTCCTAGCACTTAAATATAGTAGCCTTGTACTCTTCCTGCACCCACCTCCCAGCCCTCTGCTCTCCTGACTCCTTAGCCCTCACATCCTCCCTGGTCCTTGGCTACTTCCCCAACCTGTGGCAATTGCTTGCTTCCTGTGTCCCATCCCAGCGCAATGGTAAAGATGTGTGATCCCTCTATTCTTCACCGAATCCTAAACCATGTCAAGAACTCCCTCTACAGCTTGGATGAGGGTAGAAAGATTCTGACCAGGGCCTTCTATGCACAGGTGAGGGCTGCGGAGACCCCAACAGCTCCAGCCATCCACTTTCTATAGCTGAGGACCTTACTATTTAATGGGATATTAACTAACTTGTCCCAGGAAAGAAAAAAATAGAGAATCAAGCCACCTCACATGGAATTCCCTTCCTTGGAACTTCAGGGTCCTGCTTCAAGGAGGCCAAGAAGCCTGGGGAGTGGGTTAGCAGTTCTGGTCCTCCCAGAATCAGGAGTGGATCCCAGCAGTGGGCTCCAAATTTGAGCCTTACCAGCCTTATCCCCAAGCCCTTTCCTGGAGTCTTCACCCCATGTGACCAGATCTGCCTGGGCTCTCTCCTGCATGTGGTCATTGCCTGAGCTGGGCCCTGAGAGGTTCTGGGGGAGCACAGGGTCCCTATGTCTTTTCTTCCACCCACAACCATGGTCTCCTGCACCTCAGCTCCTCTGGCACCGATCAATAGCACAAACAGAGGGGCAAGACTTTCTGGGCATTCTAACCCAATGGCTCAAGGATCCTGATCATGTTATGCAAGAAGTTGGTCTCCGGGGAATCAGTAATCTGGCACTGCACCAAGGAAATGTAAGAGTCAAGAGAAGACCAAATGGGGTCCCTGAGAGTCTCTGAAGCATTTGCCTTTCTTCCCTTGGGTCCCTTAGTTGCCCCAGTTTTAGTACAATCTCAAACCCTCATCCCTGGCATCATAACACCCAGGGTAGGCCTATCTGGGTGTGCCCTTAAGTAGCCTGGACTCCTTGGGCCTTCATTTCCTTGGCTAGGTTGTCTACATTTGTTTCTCTTAGGCACCATTTTGTGCTTAAGACCATGACCTCAGAGTGCGGCATGGTCCTCAGGGTGGTGAGTGACCTCTGCCTTCTCCCAATAGTCAGAGGCTCTCAAAAGCCTGATTCCCTCCTTGCGAGGCTTTCTGACTGCTGATGTGCGGGTGACAGTGCAGGCGGTGAAGTGCCTGCGGAACATCATCTACCACTGGCAGGGCGAGGACATCAAGGCCATCTTCTGCAGCATCTGCCCACATCTGCGTCCCCTCATCAATGACGTATGTGCCTAGGTCCCTAGGACTCACTGGGAACACTGTGGGCTAGGGCTGGAGCCTAACTAAAGGTTGGTCTAGGCTTGTGGCTCATGGCTGAGATAATGGAGGGAAGACAAAAGGAGATGTGGTCACATGGAGCAGCGCATAGGACATGTCCTATCTGCCTTCCCTAACACATGGGGACATAGCACATGCCTCCACATACTCTCTCCACAGAAGTTCCCTAGAGGAAGGAGCCACTGGACCAACAATCGAAAGCTCACACAAACACTGATAGGAAGCCAGTGCTCACTCCAAGGACCTTCTCTAGACTCCACTTATGGAGCGAAGTGAGGGAGAGAACTGATGGCTCTACGCTCCTCCCAAATAATACAGGAACCTTAGAATGCTAGGGTCCCTGTGGCAAGAGAAATCTGAGACTCAGAAATTTGGACTAACAGACCAATATCATCTATCCCCAGGTCTCATTCTCCTTATAGATCATGGCATCCTAGAGATAGAGGGAACTTAATGGCCCCAAGACACCTGGTGACAATATTCCCATAGTGGCATTTGTAACTTTTCCAATTTGTGAACCTTAGATTGGAATTATTTGCCTCTGTGACCCTGGAAACTCCCAAATGGTTAGATCAATGTATGATTCATCCATCTTTCTGTTCTTTTAAAATTCAGCATGTATACTGTCCTTAACAAAGCCTAAAGATACTATCTTGCGAGGACCTTAGAATGCTTTAATTCTGATTATGCCCTCCCATGTTACATATGAGCTTTGTCTAGTATTTCAGTTCTACCTGCTTATAAAAAAAAATATTTTTTTTGAGACAGGAGTCTTACTTGTCACCCTGGGTAAAGTGCTGTGGCATCATGGCTCACAGCGACCTCGAACTCTTGGACTTAAGCAATTGTCTTATCTCAGTTTCCCAAGTAGCTGGGACTACAGGTACCTACCACAACACCAGGCTATTTTTTTCTGTTGTTACTGTTGTTTAGCAGGCCCAGGCCAGGTTCGAACCCACCAGCCTCAGTGCATGTTGCCAGCGCCATAACCACTGTGCTACAGGTGCTGAGCCTCTGCTTATGAAATTTGCAAATATGGCCTTTATATCGTCTCATTACTGCTATTATTTCATACAGTCAGTACTTAGATTTACCCGTATGTTTACAAATCTCCTTGCTCACCTTTCCTTCTTTCAGCTTTTTCTTCCTCCTAGATGCTGTGTTTCCCTCTTCCTTTGTGATTCCTTGGGCGAGGTCCTAAAAGAAGTAAATGTTTTTAATCTTTGTGTGAAAATGTCTTTATTTTGCTTCACATTTGTCCTGTTAGTAGTTTATGATATAAATAATATGGTATTTCTCGAATGTGGTTCCTTTGTTTTGCAGTGTTGGTTTTCCTCACTGTTTGCTGATGCTCAATCATGATTTCTGGCATTTTTATATTAGAGATTCCCGGTGGGCCCTCTGTGAAAGCAATGTCTGTTACTGCAGCCTGATTTCAGTAATGGGGGAGCATCCAAGGAGCAGTGGATGGCTGGCTGTTGGCAGATCCAGCCATCCACTTCTCCTTCGATGCTTTTGATTCTAGGGCTCCTTGCCCACCCTGGGTGGTATCAGACACCCAGGAAGCCATCCCATTTCTTTGGTCTAGACAACATGCCTGCTGCTCACCTGGGGTGTTTCTTGCCCCTGCTTCTTGGTAATTGATAAGGGGGTATCAGGAGGGCAGGGTGAAGGGAGAAACTGAATTGGATTGCTAAACTACAGCCCCCAACCAGCAATCCTGTGGATTGCCCAGAATTTTCTTCTTCTTCCTATATTCACAGCCCTTAAGTTTAGAGCACTCAGAACACCGGTTCCCCAACCATGTCCCGCAGTAGTGCTTTGCTTGCCTGCACTCTGTGCTGTGCTTTTTAGAAACTCATCCAATGCCTCAGATCCATTATGAACTGTAAATATTTATCACTACTATTTCTCCTAGAGATGGGGTGACTAGCAATGTTCAATTACCCATCTTGAGCAACTGTGCATGTGATATTTTTTTCTTTCTTTTTGTCTTTAAAGTATTAATAAGGACTCACCTCTCTGTTTAGCTGTTATGCTATAATGTGTACATCTGAATTGTGAAGAAGTCTCTGTTCAGGAACTATCTGTCTTGTCCCACCATATCTCTATCACTGTGCTTAACTCCTGACAGGTGCTCATGAGATACTTGTTCAATTAATACATAATGTTCCCCTGAAAGTGTACAAAGTGTACCTGTTTGTGGTCATTATTAATTCACACAAGTCAGGCTGGGTGTAGTGGTTCATGCCTGTAATCCTAGCACTCTGTTAGGCCAAGGCAGGTGGATTGCCTGAGCTTAGGAGTTTGAGATTAGCCTAAGTAAAAGGGAGACCCTGTCTCTACTAAAAATAGGAAAAACTTCCTGGGCATTGTGGTGGGTGCCTGTAGTCCCAGGTACTCAGAGGCTGAGGCAAGAGGATCACTTAAGCCCAAGAGTTTGAGGTTGTGAGCTGTGATGACGCCAAGGCACGCTACCCAGGGCAACAGAGTAAGACTCTGTCTGAAAAAAAATTAATTCACACAAACTAATACAGATTTAAACAATTCTATTCACAGCATCACTAGGGTAAAAATATGCATTTTGAAAAATGTAGCATATTTGAGCCAAATCCTTAGAAGAAAAGGAAGGTACCAGGTGCAGGTATGGTCCATGGTAGATGTGAAGCCGTGATCTCAGTTTCCCGGGCACTGTGCCTTCATAAACTGACTTCCTAGTTCTAGAGGTCTAAACAGAACAACTAAGAAATGAAATTGCGTGGGATTTATGTTAAGCAAGCATAGTGCAGCCAGTGTGCTCTGGACATGCAGATGGAGGTGTGGTAGGAAGAGAGCCCTGCCAGGCAGCACCAGGAAATCACCACCACCACCTCCTTATCTGTGCTTTGTGCTTCCTGGCAGGCGAGGGATCTGGTGAGAATTGTAGCCACCTCTGCCCTGGGCCACATGCTGAAAGGGGTCATCAAATACAAGCCAGGAGCCACCATGAAGAAGGAACTGCATAAATTTTTGCTCCCACTCCTATTAAGCATACAGGACAACAACACCGAGGTGGTCAAGGTACCCTGGATGTCTCTGTCCTGCCAAGCCCCGGCCCAATTCATGCCCCCATGTGTCAGAGCAGAGCCCCTTCCCTTCAGCTCTCTCTTCACGAGCCCAGCCTTGGCAGCACACTCTACAGCCACCTCCTTTGCGTCCTCCTCTGGGCTGCCCTGAGCACTCTGACCTCTTCCTGCTGTGGGGGCTCACTCAACCCTTGGCCTGGGCAGTCATAGGAGTGGAGTTTGGGGATTTTCTTCCTCCAACCCACAGGCCTGTAGAGGGGCCCTCACTGAATGGGTGAAGGTCATCGACTGGTCGTCACTGACCCACACCTACCAGCACACCACCCTCAGTGACCACCTCCAGGTGATAGAAGAAACCTGCAAGTACCTGGTGAGTGAGTGTCTCTGAGGAAGTGAGTCTCAGCATCCGTCCTGGGGACCCAGCAGTGGGCTCTGTGTGCCAAGGGGGCAGCTGACAGACATGTCCCTTCAGTGCCGTGTCTCTCATTCTTTACAGCATCTGCAAACTCTGGGAGCCCTCAGCTGGGAGGCCAGGCCCTGGTTCTTTGTACTTGATCCTTTTGGTGTCCCAGTCCTTGTGTCAGAGGCTGGGGAGGTCATGCTGGGTTATTGCATGGCCGTAGGACAGAGGCCCTTTGGTTATAGTGGTAGAAAGCCCTGTGGGCAGGAGTTAACCAGGCCTTTAGGTGAGTAGCCATGGGGTCAAGGATCTGTGGATTCTGCCATCAAGAATAGGCCAAAGATCAGGAATCTTGGTTGAAAAGGAAACATTTGAGGGCTAAGCAAGTAGGTTAGGGACTGACATGAGTAGTTCTGATATTAGGGATCCCTTACATAGGTAGATTATTTTACAAAGCACCGTCATAGCCATTGGCCCTTTGTTGGAGCCCAGGATCTCTGTCTCTGGTCCCGACCCAGGACCTTATCAGAGCTGGGATGCTAGGTCTCTGGCCCTGGCCCACAAAACTGTCTGGACATGGATGCTGTGCCAGCTTACTGGGGGTTGGTCTTGTTCAGGTCTCAGGAGCTGAAGCACCTTAGAAGTCAGTCAGTATTGGTAGGAGCGAGCATCTCAGCAACAGTCTTTAGTAGGGGAGCACTAATCAGGTGTCCTCTGAGCAAGAAACAGAGGCAAAGGAGGAGCCCCGGCTAACTTCTCCTGAAGCCATTCATAGAAGCAATCCCGTGGCCGCCTATGCCACAGGTGTGGAGACTGCTAACCAATGATGTACATATACTTTTGTACTCTCATGCCCCTTACTAATGAGAGCCAATGATATTAAATCCCTTCCCCAATCCCTTATTGCCAAGGTATTTCTCACAGGTGCCTTCTACACCCCTGGTTATGGTTTTCCCCCAACTCTACATAAGAGGACAGTGAAGTCAGGAAGCGTCAGGGCCAGTATTCAAATCTGGGTCTCCTGGTTCCACATTAGGCATGTTGTCCCTTCTCCTGCTGGTACCCAGGAGCAAAATTCTGTTTATGAACTTCCTGCTGAGTCTGTGCTGTTGCTGGGCTGGGAGGGGTTGGGGGTCTAAATGTGCAAGTTCCAGAAGAAGCAGCTGCCTGCAGATAGACTGCTGGGGCCATGCATAGGTGGTGATGTGGCCACTAGAAGGTCTTCAGTAGCGTGCCCTAAAGGGTGACCCCTCTCCTGGTCAGCACCACCCTTCTTTGGCTCCACAGGCCTACCCAGGCAAACACCAGATCCTGGGGGAGTTGCTGTCCCAGAGCTTTATGTTCCTGAAGAGCCCGCAGACCTTCCTCAGGATAGCTTCGGTCACTTTCATAGGTAAGGTGGGGGCTCCTGGCATTTCCCCCCTCCTCTCTTCAGCAGGGCAGCCCTCCTTGACCTTTTGCTAAAGGCCAAGCACACCCATGGTATGAAGAACAGGTCGCTCCTGTGCCAGCCTTGACTTGATTAGAGAGGTGGACCTGTGACCAGGCCTCAAATTAGAAAGGCTTGGGGAGAGAAGTGCAAGCTTGTGCCTTTACCCCAACTCTGTGTGAGTCCCCCCATGGTCTGGGCTCTGCTCTGTGGGGAAGTGAGCCATGTGTTAACATCCTGGGCTCATCCTCTACTTGTCACCTGCTGACAGTAATTTCTGGGTCACAGCTGGTCTGCAGTTTCTTTTATGAAGACACTGCTGTTTAGGCTGCCAGTCATCACTTGTGTATACTCCTTATTAGAACTTATTTATAAGTTCCTTGTTCACTGAATGTGGGGAAAGAAGCAGCCAGAAAGTTCAGGAACTCTGGATTGATTTTACATGTGTCTTGTCTTTAGGATTCACTATTAGGAAAATGAACATGAGATACGTATTTGAGGAGGACTTGCAGGTGATAAGGAATGGTGAGTATGGCCTTGTACCTGGGTTCTGCATTACACAAATGGGTGGGATGGGGTAGAATGGAATGGGGACATTCTTAAGGACATGTTTCATTATTTTATTTTTACTCATGGTCAATGTAATCTAGAAGAGTAGAAAATGAAGAAAAGTACTAGGAAGAAACACATTTTCCACTGTCCTACACATTAGATAAAATATTGCTAATATTTGGGGGCTATATCTTGACAGTCAGTGAATACCTATTGCTGTAGGTGCTTATACTATGATGGTGTTCAAGACAGAAATAGTCCCTACCCTAAAAACGTGCAGTCTTTTGTTCTTTTTTATTGCATTAAACTCTTCAACATTAATTTATACTTATAGAAGAAATAAACAGATATAAACTTTTGGGGAAAAAAAGCATTATCCATATAGTCCCATTTATACCCCCTGCTACCACCCACCCAATTTCCCCCCCGGTTGTTTGCTGTACTTTTGTATATTTGTGAACAATTTCTGAAACTTGATATTTCTCCTCTAATATGTGGGCACATACAAAGCTACTTCATTCCCTTAACTGCCGTGTAATTTCCATATATGGATATGCTATGGGTTATTAATCATCTTCCATATGTATGAACACTTATGTTGCTGCCAACTTTTTGCTATTTAAGCAACACCATGATATATATATGTATATATATATATGTAAAAATTTCTATAGGACACATAGCAAAACATAGATTTTTGTCATATTAAGCTTAACAAAATGTAAAGTAAAATTACATTTTCAACTTCCTTCCGTCTTCTTGACATTAGTTCCATTCACTGTTCTCCCCAATTTACAGAGTTTTGTGTGCCAGTATTTTGGTTCTATTTTGTTAAGTCTAAATTTAGATACTATGATTGTTGTTGTTCTTTTATACAAACTATTCCTTTGTGTCTTTCTGACCTTCCTTTGGAGACCATTTTTCTTTATCCTGGAGACTATCTTTTAAAAGTGCTGGTATCTTGAGGTGTGCGCTCTTGGTTTTTATTTATAATGATTTTATCTTGCCCTCTTTCTTTTGATTTTTGTTTTTTACTTAGGCAGATTTAGGGGGTATAAGTGGTTTTTTGTTACATGGGTGGATTTTATAGCAGAGAAGTCAGGGCTTTTAGTATACTGGTCAACCCAATTGTATGCATTGTCCCAAATAGTTAGCTTTTGATCCCTCACCAGTCTCCCACCTTCCACCCTTCGAAGTCTCTGGAGTGCCTTATACAACTCTATGTGACTGTGAATACCCATCATTCCACTCCCATTTACAAATGAGTACCTATAGTATTTCACTTAGGATATGGCTTCAAGTTCCATCCAAGTTGCTGTGAGAGACATTATTTCATTCTTTTTTATTGCTCAGTAGTATTCTGCTATATGTCTGTCTATCTATCCTCTATCTATCCATAACACATATATACTATATCGTCTTTATCCATTCATCAGTCAGTCACTTGGGTTGATTCCATATCTTTGCAACTGTGAATTGTGCTGTGATAAACATGAGTGCATATGTATTTTTGACATAACTTCTCTTTCTTTGGGTAAGTGCCCAGTAGTGGGATCACTGGGCTAAATGGTAGTTCTAATTTAGTTCTTTGAGTATTTTCCATACTATTTCCATAGAGGTTGTACTAATTTACTTTCCCACCAACAGTGAATAAGACACTTCTCACTGCATCCACACCAATATCTACTGTGCTTTGAGTTTTTAATAATAACCTTTCTGACTGATGTAAGATGATATCTCATTGTGGGTTTCATTTGCATTTCTCTGATGATTAGTGATGTTGAGTGTTTTCTCACATGTTTGTTGGCCATTTATATTTCTTCTTTTGAAAAATGTCTGTTTGTGTAATTTGCCTACTTTTAAATTTTTCTTTTCTTCCTGATTTGTTTGAGTTCTTGTAGATTCTGGATATTAGTCTTTTGCAGGACTTATAGTGTGTATGTTATCTCCCCTTAAGTTGTCTATTTCCTCTATTGATAATGTCTTCAGCTGTGCAGAAACATTTTACTTTAATTGAGTCCCATTTATTTACTTGTGTTTTTGTTTTATGTGCTTTTGGAGTCTTAGTCATAAATTCTTTGCCTAGGTCAATGGCCGGAAGAATTTTTTCTAAGTCATCTTCTGGAATTTTTATGGTGTCAGGTGTTACATTTAAGTCTTCAATCTATCTTAAGTTAATTTTTGTGTATGGTGAGAGATGGGGATCCAATTTTTTGTGTGTGTGCAGCTCTCTAGTTTCCCCAGGACCATTTGTTGAATAGGGTGTCTTTTTCCCGATTTTTTTTTCTGCTTTGTCAAAAATCAGCTGGTTGTAGGTGAATGGTTTCATTTCTGGATTCTCTATTCTGTTCCATTGATATACGAGTCTACTTTATGACAGTATTCTACTGTTCTGGTTGCTACACTCTTGTAGTATAGTTGGAAGTCAGATAATATAATGCCTTCACATGAGGTCTGTTTGCTTTGGCTATTCAGGTTTTAAAAAAATTTCATGTGAAAAGCTGGATATGGTGGTTCACGGCTACAATCTTAGCACTTTGGGAGGCTGAGGTGAGTGGATTGCTTAAGCTTAGGCGTTTGAGACCAGTCTGAGCAAGAGCAAGACCCTGTCTCTACGAAAAATAGAAAAACTAGCCAGGCATTGTGGCCGGCCCCTATAGGTCCAGATACTCGGGAGGCTGAGGCAAGAGGATGGCTTGAGCCCAAGAATTTGAGGTTGCTGTGAGCTATGATAACGCCACAGCACTCTATCCAGGGTGATAAAATGAGACTCTGTCTCAAGAAAAACTTTTTTCTATGGGAAATTTAATATTGTTTTTGTCTAATTCAGTGTGAAAAATGGCATTGATAATCTGATGGGAGTTATACGGAATTTATAAATTACTTTGGGCAGTATGAGCATTCTAACAATATTGATTCTTCCAATCCATAAACATGGGATTTTTATTTATGTCATCAACAATTTCTTTCATCAGTGTTTTATAGTTCTCCTTATAGAAATCTTTCACCTCCTTGATTAAGTATATTTCTAGGGTTTTTTGTTTTTTTTTGCATCTATTGTGAATAGTATTGGGTTCTTGATTTGACTTTTAGCTTGGCTGTTATTAGTGTACAGAAATGCTACTGATTTATGTACATTAATGTCATAACTTCAAACTTTACTGATTTCTTTATCAATTCTAGAAGTCTTGTGGGGAAGACATTAGGGTTTTCAAGGTATAAGATCATATCCTCAGCAAATAGGAATAGTTTGACCTCCTCTTTTCTGATTTGGATGTCCTGTGTTTCTTTCCCTTTCCTGATTACTCTGGCTAGGACTTCCAGTTCTATTTTGAATAGAGGTGGTGAAAGTAGGCATCCTTGTCTTTTTCCAGTTCTTAATGGGAATGCTTTCATCTTTATCTTGTTCAATATGTTAGCTGTGGGTTTGTCATTTGTGGCTTGTATATTTGGAAGCATATTCCTTTTATGCCTATTTTGGTAAGGGTTTTTATAAGAAAGTGTGCTGGATTTTATCAAGTGCTTTGTTTGCATCTATTGAAATGATCATATAGTATTTGTTTTTAATTCTGTTTATGTGGTGAATCCATTTATTGATTTGCATATGTTGAACCATCTTTGCAATCCTGGGATGAAACTCACTTGATCATGATTAGTTTTTTGATGTGCTGTTGAATTCAAGTTGTTAGTATTTTGTTGAAGGTTTTTCCACCTATGTTCATGAGGGTTATTGGTCTTCTTATTGGTCTTTCTTTTTGTGTGTGTGTCCTTTCCAGGGTTTGGTATTAGCATGAGACTGACTTTGTAGAATGAGTTAGGGAAGAGCCTCTCTGACTCAATGTTATGGGGCAACTTCAGGAGGATAGGTGCCATTTTTCTTTGTAGGTCTTGTAGAATTCAGCTGTGAATCTGTAGGGTCCTACGCTGCTTCTTTTTGTTGGAAGGTTTTTTATTACTGATTCAATTTCCTTACTCAAGATTTGTTTGTTTACAATTTCAATTTCTTACTGCTTTAAGCTTGAGAGGTTGCGTATTTCTGAAAACTTACCCATTTCCTCTGCATTGTCTAGTTTGTATGCATAGAGGTATTCATAATAGTTTTGGATGATCTTTTATGTTTTTGTAGTATTGGTTGTAATGTCTCCTTTTTCATTTCTGATTGAGCTTATTTGAATCTTCTCTCTTCTTTAGTTGCTTAATCTAGCTGGTGGTTGGTCAATTTTATTTATCTCTTCAAAGAACAAAATTTTTGTTTCATTGATCCTTTGGTTTTTTTTGTTGCTTCGTTTTCAATTGTATTTAGTTCTGCTCTGATCTTTGTTATTTCTTGTCATCTGCTAGATTTAGATTTGGCTTGTTCTTGCTTTTCTAGTTCCCTGAGGTATGACACTAGCTTTTTAATTTGTGAACTTTGTCTTTTTGATGTAGGTGTTTAGTGCTATGAAATTTCCCCTTAACAATGGTATTACTGTATCCCAGAGATTTTGGTAGGTTATGTCACCATTGTCATTAAATTCAAAAAAGTATTTGATTTCCATCTTGATTTCATCATTGATCCAAAGGTCATTCAGTAGCAGATTGTTTAATTTCCATTTATTTGTATAGTTTCGAGAGTTCCGCTTGGAGTTAGTTTCTAGTTTTATTCCACTATGGTCTAAGAAGATAGATGATTATGGTTTAGATTTTTCAAAATTTGCCAAGATTTGATTTATGGTCTAATATATGATCTGTCTTAGAAAGTATTCCATGTATGAACAAATCAAGTGCTTTGTCAGAATGTACACTCTGGAGGTTTTTGGTGTCTTACAACAAGCTCTTCTTCTTTCCCCCATTATTTTCCACTTAGCAGCCAGACTCTCTTTAAAACATGGATATTGGGTCATGTCTCCCTTGCTTAAAGCCCTTTAGTAGCTTCCTATTGTTCTGAGTGTCAAAATGTGGCCCTGGATGGTCTGGCCTCTGTAAGCCTCTCCCCCTTCAGCCTGCATCATTGCCTGCTCTCCACAATCTGCAGCCACACTAGAACTTT